TTCGCACTCCAGGACTCCCAGCAATACCACGACCACACACAGGCGTGAAGTGGAAGCAATTCCGCGTACAGTCTGAGTGTGATGCCGGAGACCCAACTTTAGTCCCTTTTCCTTTCCACCCTTTTTCTTATAAGAAGAGAATGGGGAGGGAATGAGGATTTGACGGTGGAGACGAATAGGAAGGGGAAATATCATTTTTGTGTATGTTTCCTCCTTCATTGATTAAGGGTAGACAACGCATCCGCTATTACGGATGTCTATGGGCAGTGGTCGCTTCGCCATTTAGGCGAATTCAGGTGGCCATTGCACGTTTGCCGCCGTATCACAAAAAAGTATTATATTATAAACTATATTAACTTATCATCTTCCATAACTTATCCTACTCCCGTAGGGTCACCGTGTTTTCGTCCTCCAAATAACTATCATCCGTCATCTTTCATCACTCCCATCTCTTTCTTTTGAAAAGTCCCCAAAACCACATGTCTAATGAATAAAATATGCGATGGAAATATCAGCCACTGGTCACAGGCCCTAAGGCCCACCAATGACTGATAGAGACTCAGATAGCTTAAAAATGACGTCACTGTTAAATAAGGGGACAAAATCCGATGTTTCATCACATATTTTAGACGTTGCATTGTTAACTGACAATTTAAAATTTAGTGGGACAGGCCCTTAGACTAATAAAATATCTATCCAATACATTTTAGCACCTTTACTATCCTACGTGACATCAGTTTGCATGTAGAAATTAAATTTTAACCAAGATTCTTTCGTATTTCGGAACTTATTGTAATTGTGATGTTTTCTTAATATCTTTCAGGTAGAAAACGGTCTTACTCAAGTGGTGCATTTAACATGGCTTCTAGTCAACAGAGTTCATATTTTAATAAGTCAATATAATGAAGAAATTGTACAGAGTTTGATATCTAAAGTACAGGAGAATTCTGTAGCGTCGGGATTATTGTTGCAAGCGATTGCCGCTAGATGTCAGTGCTGTTTGAAGGTAAGTTCCCGTGCGGCTTCATCCGCATGAAATTATGAAAATTGCATTTTATTATTCACATTTGTCAAATTATCAATAGCAAATGTCAAAATGACATGACAAGACAAACCTCGACAGACTTTCTTTCTTGATGTTGGCAGCAACTTATGGTCTCTTTCCCACATTAGGGTTAACCAAAATGTTTACCTCCTAAGTTTAATGACGTGAAAATATATAGCCTAAAGCGTGACGTAAGTGTAAGGCCTTTTTAAAAAAAAGAATCATTCAAAAATATGCTGTAATTGCTGACATCTTAGGCAACAAAGAAGTGTGTTTACGCATTATTATTATTATTATTATAGATAAAAAAAGAGAGCTAGTGATGTTAAAACTATATACTAGTTATGGTTATTCAAACTATAGATTCTGCTAAAACTGCCAAACTTTTTTTAAATATAATGAGTGTTGTAATATTTGCAGGACGAATTCGCACTAAACATATACAAGGTGCTGTCTCAATGTCACGAGAGTCAGTCTGGTGCTTTGATATTTCTCATTTGTCGTATTATTGGTAAACTGGAGCCTGCGATCGCTGTCAGGTAAATCTTACTAATACAATGCGAAAGTTTAGATGGATGGATGTTTGTTAGAGTTTGTAGTCTAAAGCTGGACGGATCTCGATGGAATTTGTAATAAATGTAGAGGATAGTCGGGAAGAACACATAGGCTACTTTTTTTTTAATTCAACGCGGACGGAGTCACGGCCGAAAGTTAGTATCTTATATAAGAAAAGAAGAATATACTATTGTTGAGAATTATTGAGAAATAGGGACAAAATAAAAATCACCTCGAGGACTTGAACACTATATTTTACTTGGCAGAGTGACAGATGGAATGGACGAACATAGACTAAAAAACAAAAACTTAATTATACCATAGATTATAAATTTACCCAATTACAACAACTATGATTGTCTATTCTAAATTGAATTAAGTCTATTTCAGACAAAGATTCAATGTATTATGGGAGAAAATTCCTTAGTTCCCTAGTTTTTTCAATTTTTTTCATTAGGCACACGTTTGACTAAACTATCGCATAACTGTTTAGTCTCGATTTGATTCGTAAGAGCTTATATGGAGCGCACTACTCGATTTGTAGTTGTGTAACTAAACAGTTGAATTGCAAAACAATCGACAATCAACAGTTGTGCGATCGTTTAGTTACTTCCTACTAATTTTATAAATCGAATGTTTGGATGGATGTTTGTTAGAGTTTGTAGCTTGTTGAACAAATCTCGATGAAATTTGACATAGATGTAGAGGATAGTCTGGAAGAACACATAGGATACTTGCGTCTTTTAATTCACGCGAACGGAGTCCCGGACAAAAGCTTACTTCTTTTTCACCACCAGCTCACTATACGTCCCCACAGAGGGGCTCGGAGCGTACCCTAATAAGGGGTGACTAGGCCATAGTCAACCACGCTGTACTGCGGGTTGACTTCACACATATCTTTGAATTTCTCTGTCGATATGTGCAGGCATCACGATGTTTTCCTTCACCGTAAGAACTTCGGGTAAATTATGTACATATGAAAATTCGAAAAATCGAAAATCACATTGGTACAGCGGGATTCGAACCCAAGACTTGTAGATTTCAAGTCAAGTGTTCAAACCACTGAGCCACCGACGCTCTACTACTTTTTACTACTAATAATTTTAATATCACATTAAAGGAAATATAACAAACTGTGTAATATTTCAGATTTGCTAATTTGGCAACGGAAAGGTGTAAAATGTTATCAGAAATTCCCTCAGAAGATATAAAATCTCAGCTCACTAAAGAAGATTTACAAGTCGCGTTGGAATCATTGCAGAGAGACAAAGTTCATGTTAGGTAAGTTATTTATGACCTTACTTAACTATCTACTTAATAAAAATAGGAAAAAATATAAAACACTATTTGCAAAACAAAGTGACGGATAAAAAAATTTGCTTAATTTTCAAACTCAAGAAGTTAGATGTTATCGTTTGTATTGTTATTGTAAATATTTTTCCGTATAATTTAAGTGTTTTTTAATAGATATCCAACATTAGTGGTACAATTAAACAAGCTGTCGTCGAGTAACTTCGACTTGTCGCCGCTCGACCTGACGTCGGAGCGAGTGGTGAGCGCGCACAACGTGCTCACCACTAATGTTGACGCTAACTGGCTTATAAATGAAATTAAAATAAGGTAATATGGTATTTTTAACCTTTTTCTATATAATACAGTAGAACCTCGATAAGTTAAAGTCCAAGGTAAACACAGAATTAAGTTATAGAGGTTTTAAGTTAGCAAGGGTCTATGTTATGGAGGTTTTAGGCTCTGATGGGAAGGGAACATTATTTTTTGAAGTTATGGAGGTTTTTATGCCATCGAGGATTAAGTTATCGAGGTTCTATTGTATTATTAAGAGGAAAGATTTGTACTTTTTTATTTATATATAGTTTTTTATTAATATTAAGATAAAGCAAAATCTACTGGACCGATTTCAAATATTCGGATTATTCCTGTCACCCCGCGCATTCCCCTCGTGGGGACAGATGAAAGTAAAAAGTTTCATCTGTCCCACCTATTGCGACGAGAGGACGGTTGAAACTTATTTTATTTCATAACGGTTCCATCTGTCACCCTATTGGTGATAGGAATAAAAGATGGGACGGATGAAACTTTTTATTCTCACGTGGAGACAGAGTGGGGTGACGGTTGGGAATAATCCAACTAATTATAGTAATAATAAGGACAATGTGATGTTTTAAAACAAGGGATTTCCAAATTTATTCCAAAACATAATAATTTGTATGATGGTGTATGTTTGTATATTGTATGTTTCAGATGTCACGCAAATGGTACATTACAAAAACTGTCAAAATACAACGATTTAGCTCGACTCCTGTCAAATCTGTCTAAAGAAGATTTATTGACAGTCATGTCGTGTCCTGAATTTGACAGGAAAATATTAGCTTCATGCTTCAAAGTGTCTTGCGATACATTTACAAGAGAATTCTTGAATATTCTATCTGTTTCTGAAGCGAAAGAGATGGAGAGAGAGAAGGAGAGAGAAAAAGAGACTGTCAAAAAAGAACTAGAGACATCTGTTGACAGTAATAAACTAAATGTTGTCAATTTGCATGTATTTAAAAGAAGTGACAGTAAAGAATCGAAATCACAATTCTTCATACCAATAAATGAAAATGAACAGAAAGGTTTTGGAAATTTAAAAATCTCCGAAGAGGAGATAGAGATGACGCTTCCAGAATTGTCAGATTTATACCAAGTGTCAATTCTGACGTTAGATAAATCTATAAGTGAGATTTTGAGGTTATTTCCTAAACAAAATCGACCTTTAAGTCAATCTGAGACATTTAATTTAAACATAGAGCAAACAATAGATAGATATACAAGAAGATGTCATCAAGTATTTCAAGATAAATTATTTTATAAAGAATTTATGATAGTTCATAGTATTTTGTTTGGTTTTTTAAATTCTTTGGACAGATTGATAGCTTTGGTAGATGACGTTGATTGCGATTTATTAGAGAAATGCATAGATAATATTATACCTGCAAATTTGTGTAAGAATATAGCGATATTTTCCGTTGTTTCGTTGCAATATTTATCTTTTTTGATCAAGAATAAGAAAGAAGTTGAGAGTCCTGTGCACGCTGATGTGTCGTTTAGAGCGACCGCAATGGAAACTGAGAATATTGTCGTGGACTATGTGATTGTGGAGACAGTACATAATGTGGCAAAAGCGTTGACTTTCAAAGAAATTTGGTCAGAACTTAATGTTGATAGTAACTTTAATAGGATACAATCAGCAATAAGTTGCTTATTTGCGGTGCTTAAGTACTTAGTAAAAGTAAGTTTTTGATATATTTCTGATTTTATTAATTTACTAGCTGTTCCCGTGCGACTTCATCCGCATGAAATTATGAAAATTGCATTTTATTGTTTACATTTGTCAAATTATCAATAGCAAATGTCAAAATGACATGACATTACAAATCTTGATAATCTTGCTTCCTTGATGTTGGCAGCAATTTATGGTCTCTTTACCATATTAGGGTTATTATCCAAAATATTTACCCCCTAAGTTTAATCGTGTGAAAATATATAACCTAAAGCGTGACGCAAGTGTAGGGCTTTTTATAAAAAAGGGATTATTCAAAAATATGCTGTAACTGCTGACATTTTAGGCAACAAAGAAGTGTGTGTTTACGCTTTATTATAATAGTATACATTTTGTAAGACACAATTCTTCTATGAAAAATCCTATTTTACTGCTTTTTATAGTATATAGTTTCAAATTAAATATTTTTTACATTGATTTTTAAACTTTGTAAAGGTCTAGAATTACTAAAAATTTTGAAAATCACTATTTTAAACCAAAACGTCTCTTTAGGTAAATGTCTTCATTTTTGTACTAATTTAGTGTCTACGTTATATCTTTGGTCAATATTTCCAGGACACAAAACCGTTAATACTAAAACACCATATGCCAGTACAAGATACAGGTCCGAAACCGGATTTTATACTAATCTCAGACAGACTTATAACAATGGTGCAGTACTGGGAACATAATTTTTATACAAAACATGTGGGAAATGTACTAGGAAAAGGTCTGAGGAAACCTATAGAAAGTCTACTTATCAGTCTATCTAGGTAAGTGTTCTTTAGCATTTTTCCTGTATTTATCTCGTAACCTTATTAGGACAAGTTATCTGCATGTTACTTATTTTATTTTTTTATAATATAAGGTGGCAAACGAACAACCGCCTGAATCCACCGAAATGGAAAGCGACCGCTGCCAATAAACATCCGCAATTGCAAAACGTTGCCTACCCTTAATCGACGGAGGAGAAGACGCACATAAAGAGGACATGTCCCCTTTTTATGCGTCTCCTCCACCGTCAAATCCACTTTTCCTTCCCATCCTTTACTCTTTAAAAAAGCGTGGAAAGGGAAAGAGACTAAAATTAGGACTCCGGCAACACACTCATCAGACTGTACGCGGAATTGCTTCCACTTCACGCCTGTCTTCTGTGTGTTCGTGGTATTACTGGGCGCGAGCCGGCCCTGCAGTGCGAAGATGTTAAAGCGGGCTCTACCACTGTTAGTCCTGTTGGTTCATCTCAATAAATGAATATCCAAAAATATGACTACACAAAAAAAACAGTTTTTTTGCTACAAAAAACTATCGAATGGGTTTAACTGTAGAACCTTTACATGTTAAATTTAGTGTTTTAAATGCATTTTAGTTTAAACATATTATAACAGAAAAGCGATTTTAATCAATCTTACTAATATTATAAATGCGAAAATTAAGATGGATGTTTGTAAGAGTTTGTAGCCTAAATGACTGGATGGATCTCAATGAAATTTGTATCAAAATTTACATTTATATAATAAGAATAAAATGGAAGAATACATAGGCTAATATTGTTTTGAAATTTCACACGGACAGAACCACGTTCGATAGCTAGTCAATAATAAATTAATTTCATCGAAAATTGTATAGTTATATATAAAGAAATAATGGGAAGGGAAAGTGGATTTCATGATTGAGGAGACGCATAGGAAGAGGAAATATCTTTGTATCGTCTTTGTCAGGTATCCTTCAAAGGTATCTGCAATTATGGATGTCTTCGCCGCTTCAGCGAATTCTAGTCGCCTGCTCGTATACCACCGTATAATTTAAAAAATAATCATATTGTCGTACATAGTCAGTTAGAGTAAAAGTGTTTAAATACATTTTTTTAAGTAATTAATTGTTTTTCTTGTGTTTTAGATTAGAAGTGGTCAACAATATAGCATTAATACCGCCGATAGCGTGGTCTTATGTCGAAGTGACCGTGAAAAATGATACTATACAAAAGATAGACTTGCCTCTACAAGCTTTACAAGATATGGATGTACTAGAATCATTTTTGTTCAGGTAATTATTTAATATGATACAAATTTATGATACAAATCTTATTTTCAGAATAACTGTTGTAGTTCCACATTTGAGAATTTTTTAAACTAGAATTATAGTTATACTAGCTGTTCCCATGCGACTTCATCGGCATAAAATTATGAAAAAACTTTTTATTGTTTACATATGTTTACAGCAACAACAATGTTGGCAACCTTGCCTCCTTGATGTTGGCAGCAACTTATGGTCTCTTCCCCACATTAGGGTTTTTTTTCTAAAATATTTACCCCCTAAGTTTAATGGCATGAAAATATATAATCTAAAGCGTGACGTAAGTGTAGGGTGTATTATTCAAAGAAGAATTATTCAAAAACATGCTGCGATTTCTGACATCTTAGGTAACAAAGAAGTATATGTTTACGCTTTATTATAATAGTATAGATTAAGAGTCATTACTATAAATTCTTGTAAATTGCCAGATAACAATCTCATCTGTAAATAAAATATGTGATATCGGATTTGGTTACTTTATTACAGTGACGTTATTTAAGCTATCTAAACCTCTATCAGCCGGTGGTGGGACAGGCCGTTAACGTAGAATGACGTATAGGCTGAAATGATAGAATAGAATAGAATAGAAATATTTTTAATTGAAAAAGAAAACAAAGTATTAACAACTTACATTATATCAACTTACAGCTAATTGCATTTTGTTGTTAAAACGTTTAATCTGGTGATGCCCACACTAGGCAATGCCTCTATCGTGTTGTGTGTGATTGTCTAGCGACATCAAAATAGTCAAAAAGTGACATAATAAGGACATAATAAGGACATATTATGAATCTCTTTGGGGGTTATAGAAGTCGGATGGTTTCAGAGTGAATTTATTGGGGTGGTCGTGTAAGAAGCAGTTCGAGGAGATGTGGGTGGGCGTGCTGGGCGCGCTGGCCGGCAACGGCACGCACTGGGCGGTGCGCGGCCTCGCC